GGTTGAAATCAAAGATATCCGGTTACCGCACCAGCTGATGAGATCGATGGCTGCAGAAGCGGAAGCTGCTCGAGACGCTCGTGCTCTGATCATACATGCTGATGGAGAGCGGAAAGCATCCTGGTTCGTTTTCTTATATTGTTCTGGAATTTTGATCCTACGACGTTACTGCCCGTCAGAGTGACACTGTCCAAAAAGAGCAAAATGTGGTAAGAATTCAGAGTAACTGAACTTTAGCTATCTCAAAAGTAATCGATGGATCTTCTGGGTCTTACTGTTGTGTCTCCATCCAGATATTTTTTCTGGAATTTCTTCACTCGTTGATCACAAATTTTCGGCGAGAGCGACAGTCTGAGCAGACAATCAGCTCAGTTAACGGATGAAGAATTTCTCATAGGTTTGGGTGTAAACGTTAGTTGAGGGAAAAATCGGTGAACTTCTGGAAACGTAGACGTTTGGCTTTGAGAAGGGTAAGTTTCGACTCAAATGCCTGCCTTTGAAAGTCAGCCTTGGATAGAGGAGTTAATAGAACAATGCAAAATAAAAGGCAATGCAGGAACAGCAGTATTAAGTCTTACGGATATTACTTCATGGAATTAGAAAGAAGATGACTTTGTTATTGCGTAAGGAGAGGACAAATAACTAAATACTTTTGAAAAATACTGACAAAGGAGAAAAATAAATGAAACGCTTGTAACAAAAAAGAATTAGTTGCGGAAAACTATTTTAAAAAGAGAGGAAATTTTTGAAAAAGAACGTTTCGGTCCATAAAGTTGCGTACATTCCTTTCCATTACCACAACTAGTCCTATCTTCAGTATGGCGATTGTAGTGTGTTTGCGCGGAGTTCAACACTTACTTTACGGCTTTTTTTGCTAGGTCATTGGCAGAAGCAGCGTCGACAATTGGTTCCAGCTCAGTATCCTTACAACTTCGTTATCTGCAAACACTAACAAACGTTGCCACCGAGCACAATTCAACCATTGTTATTCCGGTTCCCATGGAAATTGCTAGGTATTACGCCCGGAAATGGAGTAAAAAGAATTCGAAAAATTCGTGACGTCCAGGAAATGGGTGGCGTGTCGAAAGAACATTAAAATTCCGTCACTTGGTCAAAATTGTCTGTAGGATTGAGGGGGTAGGCTAGAAAGAGCGAAAGAACAAGGGGAGTAGTATTAGAAAAAATGAAAAGAATTTTAAAATTGAGGTATTATGAGGTAAATTTTTTCTAACTTAAGGATTATTAGTCCCACATTTCAGTTCCTGAGCACAGAAAATGAAGAATACATTTAGAAGCTGAAAAAAGGAGTGCTAAACCTTTACATGTTTTTGTTTTTTTTTCCTTGTGCAGAGGGTTGAATAAAACAGTTAACCAGCAAAGTTTTAAAAAGTGGGTCAGAGGAGAATCATTTAACTAAAATTGTAATAAATTACCTGTGTAACCAAAGACCTGCAGCCTTTTCATAGAACTTTTACTTCAGCAAAATTTAGTCAAAATTTTTTAAAACATCCTGAGTGATTCTGCTAGTGGATTCAATGGTCATTTGGTGCCAACTTGCCAGCTCCATGGCCCCAAAAAACGCAACCACTTGAAAACAATGGGTTTTTATTCAAATGGTGCTTTCTTTCGGGTACTTATTTCACTTCTGTCTATTTCTTAATAAATTAAATAAAGTTTACCTTTGAAATGCTTTCGTTAATTAGCCAGGATTGTTAACAATTATGAAAAGAGTACGAACAAATGCAGTGAGAAAGAATGGTCAGCGACGTGCTGAAACAAACCCAGGCTGGAACGCACTGGGCGAGCCCGTGCGATCATGCGTTTTTGCACCGGACTTCAATTACTCAGGTCATTAACTGTATGAATGGCTGTTGCTTTACACCTACCTTTTGCGGTCCTAGCATAAATCATCACAAATTTTGCAAAGTAATATATAATTTCCATTTAACAGTCGTTCTTTAGAAGTAACCTAGTTGTTCAGTGGGAAATTTTTTCGTCAAGACTTTTAAGTGCCTGTACGTAAGAACCACGCATACCTCAATGTTGAATTTGAAATACTTAAGTTGTACTTGGGCAGGGAACTTCCCCTAAAAGTTGAAGTTTTAGGTTTTCGAATTAAAATTTTCCCGCACAAGAAAACTTTCTTATGCCTTTACTCGAGTACCACACACG